AAGACAGAAATCTTCATACTCACCGCTGTGAAAACCTCATATCTTACACAATATTAAGTGGGTTTAGAATTTACTTGGATATTTTGATAAGGAAAAGTACAACCAGAAATCAATTTTGGTGATCCTATTATTTACCTGGAAGTTTTAAGAAATATCAAGAGATTACATAAATATGAAGAGGTAAATAACCACATAATATGACTTCTAAACAATTTATTTATACGTAAATGTGCATACAATCGCCAAAGGGTTAAATACGTACTTGATTTCTTTTCATTTGCTAGAACACATTTTGAGTGTTGAGTCTGCATTCATCTGATGAAGAATAGGGATCAGTAACTGACTACTGTGAACATGGTTTTGTTCTTTCAAGTTCTATAAAATGTGTGGATTTCCTTGACTTGTGACTATTAGCAGGACTTGGCTCGAGATTCATGTCATATTTTCTGTAACTCCTTTATTGAAAAATATTTTTAATTTTTATCTTTCAGTGCCTGACATTCTGCAGTAACAAATGTACAGAATGTATTGTTGCATGAGAGATTTCATAAATATACTACAAGACCATATTATATAAGAAATAATATTTACCAATTTAAACATGAATTTCAGTTTAGGTAAAACATTATTTAGCCAAAATTTCAAAACAGAAAGTACAATTGGAAGTGGTATATCAAAAATCTGTACAATTGATGCATAAAGCAAGTAAAATAAATTATATAACTTAATATCACCATTGCTAGATTTTCTGCTCAATCTTTGGTGGAACATAAGTCATCATTTATATCCATTTAACAAATTGTATCCAAGAAGTTATAGGCAGTTAACGCATTAAATTCTGCTGTTGTACTACGGTTGGATGACAGACTTCTTTGAAGTTACAGTGGATTTGTTGAATGGAAACTTTTCATTTTGTGTTTTTTCTGTTTCATGGATTGATAAAATTGCAAGCAGGTCTTTTAAGCACTGATACCCTATTGGTCTCCCACTGTGATCACTGTATACTTTAAATAAATCTATAAATATTCAAATTACAGCTAATCTAAACATGTTTATTCATAACAGTACACCTTTATGCAGTCGACGATAAAACCAAAAAGATTTCGCAAAACCCAAACTGAACATTTCAAATAAAAATTTATGTGTAACGAAGTATGAAATATATTATCAAACATATTTAATATGACAAGGGATGATGCAAAAATTCTCAAGTTGTCCAGTGACATCAAATTCCACAACCCCCCCCCCCCCCCAAAAAAAAGAGGGTGATAGTAACAACTTGTTAGCATAAGATATTTAGCCACAGAAATGGAACATGGAACTAAAAATTTTGTTAGTTATAAATAAAAATTATTATTCTACAGTGCTATGTATACCCACCATCACTAAATTGCATGTTTCAAGGTCGCAATAGGACTTCGAGATCCCTCTCCCCTTACCGCCCCCAGCTTCAAGTTAACAGAACAGCATCCGTAGCTGTCCATATCAACAAAGAATAAAATTTACATTGAAAGCCATACACAAATGTAGTTCACAAACAGTTTCTAAATTCAGAGTAATAACACATATCCATCACTCAGATGTAAGTAGACAATTTCAATAGTCACATGAACAGTAACCGATGAACAGAAGCACTAAATTAAAAGAGATCCCAAAATATGAATGAACTTTGAGCACAGTAACTTTCAAGGATTAAATACCATGCTCGATATGTTTACTTTAAAAGATAAAATACTGTTCTTGATAAATTAAGGATGTAAACAGACTGAAGTAGACAATTTTACATTATGTTAAATATTACTTTTGTTTGTGAGATTTGATGTCATATTGTATTTTCTTCAAAATCTAATAATATCATAAATTGAGTTTGATATGTACTCCCATCTCTTTTATTAGTCTTTTATATTATCCGATATCTTCGATTATCCAGCAATCTTTCTGTCCCATTTAGGTCACATAATCAGGACTCTACTGTAATACACAGGCATATCACAATGTATAACATTCAATGTAGCAAAATTATCCGTTTAATTAACAAAGAAGCTGTTCCATACTTTTTCTTCATGTTTCATCGCACTCAAATCGGAATTTTAAATTGTAAACATATAAAGTTTAACAAAACACTTTATAAACTGGGTATTTCATAATAACAGGTTTATCACAAAGCAAACCCAATAAGTTATTTTAAAGCAAAGTAGATACTTTCATCACAACTGGTTCACACCAGACTTTCTTGTTTCCTAAGTCGGCAATCACAACGTATTATCGCATCCCATCATAACTTGCGTATCCTCCTACACAGGTTTTCCATGTCTTAAGTTCCTTTTAAATAATTTTCAGTACACCTCTCCTCGAGACATGATAATGTCTGCTCTGATTTTTTAAGAATTAATCATTTTTCTCTCTTGTGCATGAATTCGAACATCACTCAGGAACGCTCCTACAAAACATTTTTTAACAGTGCAGCAACTTAGGTTTCTCAAGTTAGAGATTATTATTTCACGTGTTTATCAGGTACTTAATTCAATTTACATTCCCCCACACATCACCACACAACTCCAAATGAGATATCTGTCACCACATCAGCATCCTCTGAATTTTCATTTCTCTCCAAAAATGTCAAGAGTTGCAAATTACAGACGATTCTTTGCCACTTCCCTGTGCACAAACATTCATATTTGCACCGCGTCTTCTGACAATCAATAGCCGTGACCGATATCCACGGCACCATGAAACCTATCATACCGTATCAGGTGAACAATTCACGTAAGGCAGTTGTAATAAGATGTTAAACAGTTAACACCGTTCAAGTTTCAAATACCCAGTCACAGGGCATTTTAGGCATCTTGGAAGCAGGCCACGGCAGGTACCCTGCAGTACGGAATATCCAGTAGTCGTAAGAGACTTTACTGATGAGGAGCAGCAATAGTACCACCTCACTTGCGAGGATGTAGTTGATATAGTCTGTCCACACACGAGGATACGTGCAGACCTTGTTCTGATCTAAATCCATCACCTGCACAAATGATGAAATAATAATACAAATTGAAGACAAAATATCAAATGTAATTATAAAAATACATTTCTGTCAATACTACATGGGAGACTTATAGTGTAGGTGGGAAGTTAATTTTAATTTGGACCTTACGATTCTTTATCCATGTTTTCCCATCCAAGGAAGCCATCTGTTTCCAGAATTGCAAATATTATCCATTAAAATATATATTAAAATTCAGGTCAATACACAAAACAATTTTTTAGATGTTAAAATTTAAAATTTAAATGTTAAAATTTAAAATTTAAATGTTAAAATTTAAAA